CCTATGCTCTATCCACTGAGCCAAACAGGTTAGGCAGGGGTAACTTCTTTATGAAGCCACAGTTCATCTGCCCAATAATAATGGTTAGGTGCTTCTTTTAGACCGTAAATAGGATCAAGCTACCCATGTTCAACCAACTATTTTATTTTTTCATCCTCACCCAAGGAGTGAGGATATTTTTTAAAATATATTTTTATTGATTTCAGAGAGGAAGGGAGAGGGAGAGATAGAAACATCAATAATGAGAGAGAATCATTGATCTGCTACCTCCTGCATGCCCCACATGGGAATCGAGCCAGCAACCCGGGCATATGCCCTGACCGGGAATCAAACTGTGACTTCCTCTTTCATAGGTTGACGCTCAACCACTGAGCCACGCCAACCAGACTCAACCAACTCTTTAATGATAGTCTTCTGCGGGGGCCCTCGCTGTAACCAATCTTCGTGATCAAATGTTCCTCTATCCCTACATGGTTCATAATACATTCCCAGACATCATTTTTGGGTCTTAGTCACACAAGAAGGCAGTTCCATTATGGCCCAAGTTTCATGAAAGTTTTCACTTGAAAGGCCTTTGGCATCAATCTACGGCAGATCGTACACCCAGCTTCACATTAAAGTGACCTGATTGCTTTTTAAAAATACCGATGCCACCATCTTAGAGAAACTTTTTATTGGTCTGGGAAGGGGCCCAGAGATCTTTTTAAAAGCTCTACAGATGACACCATCAGGTCCCACCTCCTTATTCAAAGTGGTACCCGGAGAGAGAAATGGAAAGCTCCTTTCCGTAGTGATGATAGTAAGATGGTTACCATTCGTTGTTCATTCAGTGTAGCAAGAGTCTAAGCACATAGGCCTGGAGCAAAACTACCACTTGCCTTTCCCCCTTGGGCCGATGAACCTCACCAAGTCTGTTTCCTCATCTGAAGAGGGGAAAACAGTCTACCTTCCTCATGGGGTTGTTGTAAAATTTAAATAAAACAATGCAGAGGAGGTGCTTACTGCGATGCTTAGCAGATACTAAGCACACCTCTCTTGCCTGCTATTGTTATCTATTATCATTCACTCAAAGCAGTCATTAAGAACTCACTGGGTGAGTACAGTATGGTACACAAACGACACAGTTCTCCGCGATGTTCACTGTCAGTGGTGAAATCGAGACAAAGCAGAAACTACAATACATGCAGTAAGTGCTGTAGTGATCTGACTGCTGGAGGGGATCAAGAAAAGCTTCCTGGAGAAGTGAAGTCCAGAGCTGAGCCTGGAAAGACGGTTGGTGACAGCAGTTACACACCTGGGCGGTGCACAGTCTTATAAGAAACAAAACCGGAATTTGCCGGGGAAAGTAGATCCAGTGTTTCTTTTTAAGCACATTTTGATCTCTTTCTCCAAATCCTATCATTGCATATTTTGTTTCATTCATTCTTAAACCATTACAAAAAACGCTTGGCAATGAGGAATTGTTGCTAACCCACTGGGGATGCCTGCTATGTGTGAGGCACTGTAGCAGCAGGAGAGATATACATGATACCCCTTAAATTTAGAATACAGGCAACACATATGTCATCAAGAACACCAGCCATTTGTAAAAATATCATTGATAACGCCAGACTTTATAGATACCCTAAAGCAGTGATGGCGAACCTTTTGAGCTTGGCGTGTCAGCATTTTGAAAAACCCTAACTTAACTCTGGTGCCATGTCACATATAGAAATTTTTTGAGATTTGCAACCATAGTAAAACAAAGACATATTTTTGATGTTTATTTTATATATTTAAATGCCATTTAACAAAGAAAAATCAACCAAAAAAAATGAGTTCGTGTGTCACCTCTGACACGCGTGTCATAGGTTCGCCATCACTGCCCTAGAGAGAAATAGAAGACAAAGCCTCTGCCACCAGTAATTCATATCAGATTGAAGAGACAAATTCGCAATAACAACTCACACCTCGTCTATGTTAAAGGCTAGGTGAGGGGTAAGTCCAGAAGCCCCTGGAGAGGTTCAGAGGACAAGCTTGCTGGGAGCATGGGCAGGTGGAACAGGCTTCATTGAGGAGGCAGACCTCACCCTGGGCCTTAGAAGGAAAGAATTATTAAGTCAGAACCAGGGAAGTCAATCAGGGCACAGCACCAAGAACAAAGGCAGAAAGCAGGGATTTGCAAAGTGTTCTGGAGAAAGTGAGCAATTTTTATATTACATTACCCCTCTCCCCCCCCCCCCCCAGTTGACTCATTTAACTCATATTTGGCTGGAAACATGAATTATAAAGATGAAAGGTGGAAAATGAGATAGAGCTCAGTGTGATTGGAGTTGACCAGGGAGGAAAGTGGAGTGTATTTAATTATGTAGAAATGGGGGATCTATTAAGGTTTTTGAGCAAGAGGTGTATGTGTAAAGCAGTAGTGTGTGAGATTAATCTGGTGAAATTGTTTTGGGTAAATTAGAGGGAACAGAAATTGGACAGAACAGCTCAGAGAGTGTTACAGATGTGAAGGAGGGTTCTAGTAGGAGTAAGAGTAATAGGAATTGAGAAGGTGAGATTAAAATAAATTGACAAGATTTGGGAACTATGATTTGAGCAGTGACAATGGGAGGAAAGGCTAGATGTTGAGTTTATGTAAGAGAAGAATTCAAACACAGGCAATTTTGGAAGGGGAGCTGGTTTGGACATGATGAATTAGTGGCAGGATGATTCAATGATAGAAATGGCAGAGACCATTGAGAACTTAGAGGTAGTAAGTCAGGACTGAGGTCAGGGGTATATATTCTGTATCTAGGGGTCAACCTGGATGGAGATAACATTAAGTGATAGTTGTGAGAGAGAAAGGTTGTGGCCGACAATTTTGGGAGGAGGGTGGTTTTGGGGTGGTTTGAAAAGGAGGAGGAATTTTAAGTCAGTAGAGAAGAAAAATGACTAACCACAGAGAAATTCGAAAAACCAGGACAGCCCTAACCGGTTTGGCTCAGTGGATAGAGCGTCGGCCTGTGGACTGAAGAGTCCCAGGTTCGATTCCGGTCAAGGGCATGTACCTTGGTTGCGGGCACATCCCCAGTGTGGGGTGTGCAGGAGGCAGCTGATCGATGTTTCTCTCTCATCGATGTTTCTAACTCTCTATTCCCTCTCCCTTCCTCTCTGTAAAAAATCAATAAAATATATTTTAAAAAGAAAAAAGAAAAACCAGGACAGTGATGTAAGCCAAGAGGAAGATGATCAGTTGATAGAGTGAAAAAAATCTAGGGGGATGACAGATTAAAAATTTGATTTAATGCCCTGGAAAGTTTTCCTAGACATGAAAGACTACACTTGGTTAAACAAAGATAATAAGACAATAATGGCACCAGAGTCCACATGTTTATTAACTTCGGTGAACAAAATTATGACAATAGATTCGGGAGAGTTGCAAGTTGAGGGAAGAAATTTTTCAGAATCAGAGAGTCCTGAATGTGTTTGTTGGGGTAGAATCCCTGAATGGAGAATCCATTGGGAGTAGGGAGAAGAAAGATTGAGCTTTCAAAGGAGGCAGGAGGGGAGCAGATGGCTTTAGGAGTTCCAGCACCTCCCCCTGGAAAGGGGAACGGTGATGAATGGGAGAGATTTTGAGATGGAGGTGGGAGCTCAAGACAGATGGCTTCCGTGTTCTAAGTAAAGTACAACACACAGTACAACGTGATGGTGTATGACATTTAACAGATGTCACCCATTCCTGCATTTTCATGTAACAGTCCTTGTTACAGACGCCACATTAAATTTGGAACACAGTCTATACAGGGCCTAAGGGCAGGATTTCGGTGTGTTTCTGTGTAACTGGTGACAGATGAAAACAAATTAGCAAAAGAATGGGAGAAGGGTGAAGCACACACCAAAAACAAAAACACGAACACAGAAAAATAAACACTAAGTCTTAATTTGGGGTGGAGGTCAGAGAGAGTACTCCTAGTTTACTTTAGTAGGTAGTAAATCAGAAGGTTGAAAATCAATCACTTCCCTTTCCCAAGGTTCTTCCAGAGTTCACCTCTCTAAATTCAGCTAAGAGACTCTTTCTGATGTTCGCAGCATTTTACACTCTGATGACTTAATGTAGTAAAAAATAACCTTTGCTTGGACCCAAGCTGAGGTTTAAAACTACCTTAACCACCCCCCCCCCTAAATCTGGTGCTTTATTTTTATTAGAAGTCTGATACGAGTGATTTGAATGTGATCAGTTTGCCTAATCCACTGTAGAAATGGCATTATGGGAAAATCCCTAAGTACACCACGGTGAAGTGTCTCTTAATCAAATCCTCTACTTAGCTAGTGAACCAGTAAACCAAATAAAAGCAGTCCACTCCTAGGCTCAGAGTGGCAGGTTTTTCATTAAAGAACGGTGGCGATTGTCACTTTAGCAAGAAATCCAACACTTCTCAGGCACTCTTGGGCATCCAATAGATTCTGCTGAAATCCTTAAGAGGGTTTTAAGCTGCTTGGAGCTTTCTGGTTCTGTTCAACCAGCCCAGGCTGTGGGAGTGCATTTCTGTGTAGCTAGATGGAACTGGTTGCTGCTCAATTTTGTTCCTCATGTTTCCATTTTTTTTGCAGGCCATATTTCCCCCTCAGCATTTTGTTGCTATCCTGTACTTGTCTGTTGGAGCAGAAATTGGTATCTCCTCACTTAATAATCTGTTTCTTTAAGAGAGAGAGAGAGAGAGAGAGAGAGAGAGAAACTGTTGCATGTTGCCTTTTTCCTGGTCTTCCTGAGCAAGCTGGACGGAAGTCACAAGGTAGTTACTAATGAGAAGCCAAGAATAAGAAAAGCCACATCATTGGGCACAAGTTTCACTAACTTGTATGCCCTGGGGCTCGCCAGACACATAGGCCCGGTGAGAAGACTGGTCAGCAGCAATGGCGTCCTGAAAAGCAGATCCAGGCCGGATCCCAGCTTGGAATCCCGCCTGTGTACTTCGGCTTTCCACGTGGCCTCGTACTCTTTTTGCCCTGTCACTATGAACTTCAAAACTGACCTGGCTGCTTCAAAGTTCATGGTGGAACTGGGCGTCCCGATGTCCTCCTCTCACCTGGGCTGATCTGCTTTCTTCTGTCCCAGATCCTGGAGCCACTCAGAGTCGCCGACCCCGCTCCAGACCTCCCGGAGTGGGCGGCGTGGGGGCCAGGAGCTCGGGGCCAGGTGCCTGGCTCCGCCCGCAGCTCTCGCAGCCCAGACCCTGTGGCGTCCAAGTGAGAGCCGCTGCCACGCCACACCTGCCCGCGAGGGGGCGCGCCGGGTCCCAGGCCTCTCCTGCTCGCCTGCGCTCGCGCCTCCTCCCTCCGACAGCGCTCACCTGTCTGGACTGCGGGCCCCAGAGGCGGGGGCCGGCGGGAGCCAAGCCGAGGAAGAGGGCGGAGCGGCTCTCGGGACGCGTCATCCGAGCACCATGGCGGAGCTAGGAGCTGGCGGCGACAGCCACAGGGGCAGCGATGGCGATGGCGCTGTGCAGAGCGAAACAGGTGACTGCGCAGCGCGGGCAGGCGGGGGTCCAGCGGGCGGGGCAGGGGCCAGCAAACCGGTGGGTGGGCTCGCGCGGGGCGCCGGCGATCCCCTCTTCTGCCCGCGCGGGGCCGCGGCGGGGAACGGCCGCCCCGATCTCTGCGCACCCGGGATCGGAGCGCACAGTCCCCCGGCCCTCCGCCACCGCCCGGCCCGGAGGTGCCCGAGTGCCGCGGGCCCGGTTCCGGTCGCCCTTTGGCGCTTCACCGCGACTTTCCCACAACAGGTGGAAACGCGCCAGGGAGCGCGGGCGGGAGGAGGAAATGGAGAAACGGTGGCTGCTCCCCTCCCACCTGCCGAGTTGAATGGGGAAATCGTATACCCCAAACCAAACAACCAGCCGGAAAGTCCTGGGCCAGGTGCGAGGGGCAGGATTCTCCGTTCCTGGGCACCTCTCCTCCCCCCTCCCCCGTGCCGGGGTCACACTCAGCTCCTCGGGGCTGTGTGCGTTGAAGACGACGGTGCTGAAGGGCGCGGGGGACATGCGGTGAGCCGTGCCCGTCCCCCGCCCTGGGGTCCGCAGTTCCGACCCGCGTCCCAGAAAGACTGAGGTCGCGGGCGCAGGAGGGCAGGGGCTGGTTGCTGGATGGTGGGGACCAGCGAGTGGGGGCTCGACGTGCTCAGACGGGACTTGAAAGGGTCCTCTGAGCTCGTGTTCCAAGTCCGTACACCAACCCTGGGTGAGAAGGGTGGTTCAGCCCCAAGGGCTCTGTGTTGGGGACCGCCCCCAACCCCCACAGCCTCCGCAGCACACTCGGGGACGGCGCTCGCGTCTCCCCCGCACCCCACATCCTATAGGTGGACGATTTTTGCGCTCCTGATAGGTTCTTTTGGAGACACTGTCTTGCAAACCCGCCCCTCTCTCCTAGTCCCCTCTTCTTTTATTCTGTTCTTGGCCGGTAAACTCTGGTACCTTCCTACACTTGAAAGGGGGGGGGGGTGAGGCAGTTTCTTATTTTTAGAAGAAATTCAGATTGCAACGCATTTGCTGCTTTACATACATACATAATCGGAAACAACTGTTTCCTAAATGTAAGACTCACCCCCCCCCCCGCACCCCACCCTACCAAAAGGTATTATTGATTTAAATGGCGTGCTTATTTTAATGTGAAAGGTCCAGAAAAGCTATAATAGTATCTGCTCTGCTTGGAAGAGTTGGGACACCTAAAGTCTAATGACTTCATCCCTCCAGCCAAAATACCCGCGGTTTAGTCCGACAAGGTGTCTTGAACTTGTTTACGTTGAAGTCATACTATTTCCAGGAGAGTGGTTTGAAAGATTTGTAGATCATTATTTAGGCTTGGGGTGGGGAAAGGGTGGCTAAGGGAGATGCTTTTGTAATTGCTTTAGAGAACTTGATGAACTGGGTGCCCCGGGTTAGACTCACCCAACTGAGGGCAACAGGAGGGCAGCGTCCTCACTGCGAATGTAAATGGTGCTTCTGAAACAAAATTGTTCAAGGTAGTGAATACACGCCCATTTGTGCTAAACAAACAAAAAGCAAAATACTTTTTAGAACCTGCCATGAACAACTTGTTCATATATGAGTGAATTGCAAACTAGCCTATTCAATGCCTGGGCAGGCTAATGAACCAAGGTTTCTAACAATTGACATACAGATCAACCATGTGGCTGTCAGTGAAATAGTTTCTTTTATGAAAATGGGAATTTAATTGGCTGCCATCTTCTTCACAGAAAACAGTTGTTTCATATCTTTGCCTAGACACTTCAAGTTCCAAGGGACAGTTTTTACTTGGCCTTTTGAATAACTGTTCTTTATAATTTACCTAAAACTTATTTCTGGCCCACATCTTTCTGTGGTGTTTTTTTTCCCCTCTAGCCCTTGATTACTATTAATGTTTTTAGTGTTCAGAAGCACCTGTGTGAGCAGGGGCCAAATAAAGAGCAAAGGAGAAAATATATTTTTTAAAATCCAGATAGCAATATTTTGATCAAATAAGTGCAGATTGCCTGGATTTTAACAGCTTAAGTTTTCCATATATTTAAAACATGTGACCTGTACACATAGGACCTCAATGCAGTACTTTATTCTTATGGACATATTTCACATACACATCCAACTGCTGCAAGTCTTCTTTTTTTTAAACAATCACAAGTTTGTAGAGAGGTGGTTTTTTCCCAGGGAGGCAACATTTGTTGAAGGATCTATTTTATCCCCTTTTTAGATCTAGTTCTTGTCAGGTAAAGTCCATTCCTAAATGTCTTAGTTTTAGTGTCCCTGTGCAAAGACTGGTTTAATTGCAGAGCAATTTATATTAGAATCTCAGATAATTATTAAAATAACACCCATAATGTGTTCATAATTACATACATATGTATGTGTGTGTATCAAAGATGGGTTGAACATTAGTGTTATACTGCCTGTAAGACAAGATATTTGTTAAGAATATTGAAAGGTACTATATAAATCTAACATTTTAAAAACCATATGTCCTTCAGCATATATTTATCTCCTCCTCAAAGGTAGTCAAATAACTTGCCTTGTGGTGAATTTTTTTTTCTTCAGGATGAACAGTTCTTTCACATATATTTTTCAATCGCCAGAGGTAATAAGTGAGAACTGAAAAAAATAATTGTCTTGGAAATAAGTTTCCATTTCACCACTAGAGGACGTCAAGTCCTTTTCAGGTTATTATTTTGAATAGTTCCATTGATTGATATTCACAAAACTGCCTCTGCCCAAGCTTTGTATATTTAATTTTATGTTGGTGCCCAGTAACAATGGAAAGGGAGTGTGCAGAGCTAATTCAATAACATAATTTTTATAAAGGCTGCTGATTGAGACCAAATTCAAAGCTGCTTTTGACTAATTCATGAGACTAAAAATATTCATGCACAGGTAATAGTTAATACCTGTAATCTTTGCATTTTGTTGCTTCTCCTTTGGAGAAATGACTTAGTACCTGGAATTGGGCTTTTTCTCATTTTAGCGAGCTGTGTGGTAGAAAAACATGGATTTTCCTTATGATCTTGGTAATGACATTTCACTGCATTTTTCCAAATTAAAAAGTGATCTTTAAGGTCTCACTTAGCTCTAAGGGTCTGCGAATATCTGCAAATAAAAATTGTAAGAGGTTCAGGCTACAAGTTAGTGTTAAACTTGTCCCTTTTGAAATTCAGGTCCCAAAGCTAGTAATGCTTCGTTGAGGTGCCCAGATGACTTTTTCCCATTGTTTTGTGGCGAACTCTTACCTTTACATATTGCTTTTCACTTGTCAAAAGGTACTGGTGTTCCAGCAGAAGGTTGTTACATGCTCCCTGGGAGGCGCTTAGATTGTGTTGTGATTGAGTTGGACACCCATGCCAAACCATGTTGACTTATTTTTCTTGGATTTCTATGGTGCTCGCAGGTTTTTTGTTTTGTATTACTCTATCATAGTTCCAAATTTTAAGTTGCGTCCTAAAATCTTATTGCTATGGAATTATCACACTTTAAATCATTAGGGTATACTTTCATTCCCTTTAAACCACAAAGATGGACGTCCCAGATCTATTTTGACTTTAAACCAGTCACTATCACTTCATTGAATATGTTTCTGTACAAGGAAAATAGAGGAAGTGTATACAGCTTGCGTCTGCACGACTTTCATGAGAAGCAAGCAGTTGGGGTTTCTTCAAAGTACATAAACGAAAAAGAAAATATCAGTAAGCCATCTTATTTGTTAGTCACCAATTTTAGAAGAGACTTTCTCAAATTGCAGGGGCTCATTTACAAGGCCTATCATGTGTGTGGGCATGTGGTGGGTGAGAGACTTTTCTCCCTAAGAAAATAATGTCCAGTTCAATTTTTAATTTAGATTTTTATCTTTTTAAAAGTTCAATAACATTAAATCTTAAAATATATCACTTCCTTGGGTGGGTTGTGGATTTAGATGCTCTGAGTAATGCTCTCTGATTTTCCTTATATAGTAGACACTGTGTTAATTGATTAATCAAATGTATCTTAAGCCGTCCTTAAAATATTAAAATTATATAATTCTTCAATAAAGTTTTATTCTTAAGAACAAAGTAATATTATTATATATTAACACACTTGACACTAGAATAAACCCAGAAATTTATTTTGCAACAGTGGCTTTCTACCTCTTACCTTCTCTGTGAAAATGCTCTTATATATGTAGAAAGGTATATCTACTAGTATATGCTTTGTAAAGTGATTTTGCATAACTCCCAGTGTCAGGAGCTAAAATAGAAGTAGAAGAGATGGCTCTACAGTAGAAAGAAAGCATTGAAATAAATTGAGAAATGGGGAGTGGAACTATTTTTAGTCTAGGAGAGCTATGGGAGGGCATATTGCTTTTGAATAGAAAAACCACATGGTCTTATAATCCAGTGAAACCTCACAGGGAACAACTCTAGTTTGGCATTTCTGATTGAGTCTTTGGTGGTCCCGCTGTAACTAAAGTAGTCAAATTTGAGAGTGTCATTCCATTTATTTACAAACTGATCAGGTCCAACATTGGCATTGGCCTGCTACTCACTGGAAAAAAATCATGGAGAAAAAATGGTCCCAATCATCAACCAACTTGTGCAACAGAAATTTAAACCATTTCTATGATTAGAGCCACACTTCATTGTGACAGCATTGGAGGATTCAGGGAGCACCCTCAGAGAGTGTAAGCCTTCAAGGTTTTGGAAGAGAGAAGGTAGGAGCCCAGGATGTCAGGAGGAGCAAAAGGCTATTCTGAATCTGGTGATTGGCTCACAAATAAGCCTTCAGCCACCCTTGAAACATTTAAATTTATATAATTTTT